TGTGCCTCAAGGTACAGGATTGGGTCCAATACTGCTCCTTGTATACATAAACAATATTTGTACAAATTTTCTAGGTCACATCATATGTTATGCCGATGATACTACATTAATTTTCAAACTCAACAACTATGAAAGTATTGAACTATTTACACAGCTGAGCAAGATTTGTGGAAAATTGGATGATGGCTAAATAACAACCAATTGAGTATAAATATACAAAAAATAAAATTTATCTCTATTTCTTATATATCTAACGACAAACCTAACACAAAACAATTGAAATTCATGACCCTGATTGCCCAAATCTACAGTGCCAATACCCTGAAATAACAAAGACATCGTAGATTAAATACTTAGGAATTTTTCTCGACGAGCACATGAGGCGTGACGAACATGTTGTTCAAAATTCTTTATTAAAAATTATTTACAAAAAAAAATTCTATCACGTTACTCTACAACAATACACCGACAATGAAAATAAATTTCTTATATATTTGCAGAAGCATCATCTAGGTCTATTTAAACATCGGTAAATTCAAAAAAATAGAAAATGAAATAACAAGGTCAATTATAGTCACAACATTACAAATTCCACTTTTCAGGAAAACTCATTCCCAAAAGAGTTTTTTTCATCTTGACCCAAAATTTTTCAACCTTCCTCTTGAGAACTATTATAAGAAAATTCAAAACTGCTTTGAAACGTTCAATACAAAGAAACCCAATCCGTTCCTAAAATGAATACTGTTCACCTTAGCTATCATTCGCCTATCACTGCCAACTCAGTAAAACCACTAGAATTGTTTAGTTTCTCGATTTCACTCATTGTATTTATCAGGCATATCCATTTTATGTGTTTGAAATGTACCTACATGATTTATAATCCTGCTGAATGAATGGGAAAGCACAACACAGGTATATTTCATACCTAGGTTTGTTTAAAGGTTGTTGATAATGTTTCGTGATACATTTCACTAGTTCGGACTTCTATTGTCTACTATGATTTAAATTGATTTGATATCCCTGAAAGAATCTATAGAAAATTGAAAAGATTAGCTGAAAAATAACAATTATATCAAGCAAAAAAACTGAAATTACAAAGAAATAAAATACAAGCAACAATAAAAAAAAACTATCAACTCGAGATGAAAATTAAAATCATTTATGAAACCATGGGAATACAGAACTAGACACTAGACACCTTTCTGAAGTACATCAACAACGTAAGTCCTTCCATCACTTTCACAATGAAGAAGAAAGTCCACAACGAATTGCCTTTCTAAGACGTTTTGGTGAAGATACTAAATGGGAAACATCTGTATACCGAAAACCCACTCACACAGGACAGTATCTGAACCAGGAATCCAACTACCATCAATCGACTAAGAGAGGAATCATCAAGACTCTAGTAGACCCTGCTTTCGGGCTCTGCAATGAAAAGGAAGGTCTCGAAAAGGAACTAGAAATCATCAAAAATCACCTTCAACGGAATGGTTACTCTGAAGTGATGGTGGAACAGGTGGAACAGCAAGAGCTCCACAAGGAAGAAAAGCCGCCACAACCAGTACTTGTACTTTGCTACATCAGAGGATTGTCGGAAGAGATGAGAAGAATTGGGTCCAAGTATAACATCAGAAGCTGCTTCAGATCTGGGAACACTATCCGTAGCAGCCTCACGAAAACCAGGTCATCAAACGCGGACTGCGATTCCAAGAATTGCAGTTACCGGATACCCTCCGAGTGCGGAGAATCATACATCGGTGAAACGCAGAGGCCATTGAAAATTCGCCTCGCCGAGCACAAGAAACACATACAGTGAGGAGAAACCAGCAAATCAGGAATAACAGAGCATGTTGGCACTCATCAACGTAACTTCAAATTGTCTCAAGCTGAAATCATCCACAAGGAGGAACACTGGTTTAGGAGAAAATTCAAAGAAGCCGCATATATGTTGTCTAACAACGCATTTACCCAAGCTAGCATAGAGATACGCAACTTATAATCAAGCAGAATACTCCCGTCAAACGGTCAGTTCCCGCTAAAACCGATGAAGCGGAGAGAGGGGAGAGGTAAAAGCACTCGAATGACCTATAATTAGTCAGATCTCGGAGAAATAAGTTCAGTTATCACCCGAAGACGATTGTGGATACTAACAATCGAAACGTCGTGAAATAGCTTGGCTTGGAATCTTTAAATTTTTAATTTCCATTACTTGTTGATGATTTTTAATTTTCATCTCGGGTTAATAGTTCAATTTTTTATTTTTTGATTGTTGCTTGTATTTTATTTCATTGTAATTTCAGTTTTTTTGACTAATATAATTGTCAGTTCTCACCTAATCTTTTTGATTTTTTACATATTCTTTTAGGGGTTTACAATCAATTTATATCATATTAGACAATGGAAGTCCGATCTAATGAAATGTAACCCATATATTCAGCAAGATAACTCTGAAGTCATATATTATTTGAAGTATTGAATATGTATTGAATAAATGAATAAAAGAAATGAAATTCTCTATTTGGAGACAAGGCGTAATAATTTGTCTAGAGTTTTTCAATAGCGTATTTAACTGAAAATACCGTTAAGCCCTTTATTAAAATAACAAAAAGTATCAAAACCGTTTTATAACCGAAAAACTTATTTAACCCTTTACAAAAATTTTTATCGGTGGATTCAGTACAGAAAGAATAAGTGGCTACTAAATAATATGAAAAATCACCAGAAAAATCAAATTTCAACAAATTGACGGCGTTCGGGTTGTCAGGTTATAAAAGATGTCGCAAAGAAAGGAGTTATGCCATTTGTGTTTAGGCGCCCTTGAATTGAGCAAAGTCAGCAAGTATTTTAAAAAATATTGATGTCATGTCAACATGCTTTTGAATGCATAGTTTCGACAGAAACATTCCACATAAATGATCCAGGATTGTTCTGCAGGAATGGATATGATTTAATATATAATAATGGTGGAATTAACAAAAACGATGGTGTTGTTGTATTCCTGAGGAACAATCTTGAATATAAATCGAATATAGTGTCTTTAGGAGTATGGAGCATAATAGAGATAGACATAAAAATGTCAAAAAATAAAAATATCCTGATAACAGCAGTATACAGACCCCCATCAACTTCCTTGGAATCATTCGTCCAGAACTGGTCGGGATACCTAGAAAAAATTGAAAATAATAAATTCCAGCATCATATTTTAATAGGTGATTTCAACATCGACATTCTTGTGGAAGATCAAGAGATATCTAGTGATTATCTGAATGTACTATCTGAATATAACTACGTCTCAATGATAAACAAACCCACAAGAGTACAAAATAATTCATCAAGTTGTTTAAATCATATTTTTTTGAATACAAAATCAGAATGCGTACTAAAAGAAAGCCTACCAATTATATTCAAATCAGGAATCACCGACCACTTTACCACATTGTTAGTAATGACTTTGAAAATAACTGAAAAAAAGCAAAGCGTGGATTGTAAGAAATACATGAACTATCCTGAACTGAAATCAGAACTGAGAGAAACAAACTGGTTAACCGTATATAATGAAACAAGAATTGAAGAAGCAATGACACTTTTTACAGAAAAATTAACTCGAACAATAGAAAAACACACAAAAAAAATAAAAATCAAGAGAAAATTAATCAAAAGGAAAATTTGGATAACAGAGGGCCTAGTAAAATCTATAAATACCAAAGGAAAGTTATATAAAAAATATATTAAAAATCCCGAACAGTACAAAAAAGAATATGTTAACATACAAAAATCAACTGAACAGGCTGAGAGAAACTACAAAAAAAACTACTATGTCAAAAAGATAGAAAAAAATAAAAATAACAGGAAAACATTATGGAACATTGTGAAAACTCTACACAACTCCCATTCAAAACAAGAGATATCAAAAATTGAATCGAAAAATAAAAATATAGTCTAAGATGAACAGGAGATGACTGAAATCTTCAACAACTATTTCATAAATATAGGGAAAACTCTATCAGAAAATATAACACCCTCATTTGAACCCNAACAAAATTTATGAATAAACAGGAAAAAACCCCACGCACAACCTAGGTTTCTGTGGGTATCATCATTATATCATCATAGTATTATTCACGGTTCAGAATCTTTCAAAACAAAACCTTGAAATGTCCCATCAATTTAATTTTATTACTTTCATCAAAATTCTGATTATTCTATCACTCTTCGGATTTTTATCGAAATCTGTTTACCATTAATAGTTATAGTTTTGCTGCAATAATCGTACCTCATTCAAATATATTTTTTCTGTCACGGGAAAAAGGTTTGACATTTTATCTCTGATGACAGGTAACAAATTGTCACTTTTCATGAAATTACTTCTTTCCCCGGTCCCCGGGAAAAATATTAGATTTTAGCTCTCGGTTTTTGTCTCTCTCTGCTTCGCGTCGGGAGACAACACAATCTCGTGCTAAAATCTAATACTTTTTTCCCTTGTATAATAAATAACTATTCTTCATCATTCACATATCTTGTTTTCCATATTTTTTTTTGTTCCCCAGATGCAGTTTTTTTATATTAATTGAAAGTTTTCATTTGACTTCAGTTGAAGGAAAACTGAACGCCGCTGTTCATTGTACAATGTAATGGTGGAAACCTTGTCATCATGGTAATCACTTATTATATCAGCAAAAATCATTTGTGAATAATCTAATAAAAATATTTTGTTTAGAGAAATTAAATTGTTTCTAAACTTTTATGTAGATGAGAAAATCATGGCAATAATCGCATTCACAACTATTTTGTTATTGTAAATACCGATACATCTTGTAGTCGCTAATAAAAAAAAACCCTCTCTATACCAAATAAATTTTATATATCAATTTCATACTGAGCTAGAATCATGAAAACAGAAATATTGAGGTGTTTTTTTCTACTTTGTTGATTTTATTAGCATTTTCGAGCGAAAAGTTTAGTTTTTATATATGGATTTATGTAACATTTGAATTTTGCAGAGGAAGTTATACTAGCTGAAGAAAGAACAACTGAGGAGGAGAAACTGCATATAATGGAGGCCAGAAGAAGAGCAGCAAGAAAGAAGAAACTGAAAAATTTAGGTAGAAGTAAGAGTACCGATACTGAAGAAGAACAAGAAGATGAAGATATTGCTGATGATGGTAATTATTACTTTAATTCCACGATTAGCATCGGTACCAACAAGTCGAATCAAGTCAAATAAAATGTTTTCGGTTCTGATTTATTGCCAAATGGTGTTAAGATTAACCAAACGATCTATCTTGGGACCTACATTATTTCTATATGAGTGATTTTTCTGAATAAATTACTTAAGAATATCGTGTGGTATTAAAGGTTCTCTAGGGTTAGATTCAATATATGATTGACATAATGGACAAGAAAGAACAAGCTTTTCAATATCTCTACACCAGCCAGGGTAATAAATGGCCTCCTCCGCTCGTTTTTTACAGGCAACTACACCCTGATGAGATTGATGCATCAAGTTCAAAAACTCTTGTGTGAGGCTACGTGGAATGATAAGTCGCTTTTTATGAAAAAGCACATCTTTGTGTGATAAGATATCATCTTTGATATTCCAGTACTTTTTTATTTCACACTGAACATTAGTTTTGTGTTTTGGCCACCCGTTCAAGACATAATATTTAACTTTTTGGAGTTCAAGATCATCATTGATTGCTTCTTGTAATTTTTTTTTCATTCTCTGGTCTGGTTGCTATTACAGAAAATACCTTCAAATTTGTTTCTAGATAGTCTGTATTTATAGTTTCTTCGGTTGGGTCACGACTCAATGTATCAGTAATTTGCATATTTTTTCTTTCAACAAACGTAGGTGTGAATCTATATTGCAGTAGTTTCATAGCAAGTCTTTGAATTCGTGCTGTCATGTCATCGAAAGGTTTTTTCAGAAGTCCCAGTAGTGGTCTATGATCGCTTTCAATTTTAAATCCACTCAAGCCAAATAAATAGTATATGAATCGCTCACAACCAAAAACAATGACCAAGAGCTCTTTTTCGATATGATTGTATCGTTGCTGGGATGGAGTTAACGAAATACTTGCGAACTCGATAGGCTAATTATCTTGACTAATGAAAACACCGAGACCGTATAGTCCAGCATCAACGGAAAGTACTACATCTTTTGAAGGATCAAAATACGATAATGTTGCCGCATTAGAAATCAATTGTTTCGAATGATCGAAACATTTTTGTTCGTTCAAAGTCCAGACCCACTCATTTTTGTCACTCAAGAGTTTTCTTAATGTATTTGTTTCATTTGAGAGATTAGGAATGAATTTTGAAAGGTATACTATCATTCCTAAGAAACGTTGCAAATCCTTTTCGCACTTTGGCGGATTCATCTCACGGATAGCATGGGTCTTATAATCATCAGGAGATTTTCCCTTGTCACTGATGATATGTCCCAAAAACTGGATTTTCTGTAATACAGTTTATAGGTTATGATTGTGTTCCTCAAGTGTACGACCGTATACCAGAATGTTGTCAAAATATGCTACCTGTCCTGGAGTGCCATCTAGAATTTCATAGATACATCTTTGAAAAATCTCTGGAAGTTTTCAGTTCTTGGCGAGACGAATATCGTCCGAAAAGAGAAGAAAAAACGGATAAAGTATCGAGATTTTCTTTTCGAACTCCGTAGACTCTATCCATACCACTCTCTCAAGATGATTGTTCTGATTATTGGAGTCGTTGGTGGAATGATGCCATCTCTACTCTCGAATCTTGAAATCATACCGGCCTGCCGCACTAAGGCAGAAATCTTAGCCGGACGGATGCAGAAGACTTTCATTCCTGGCTCACTGAGGCTTGGTCAGGGCATATGATTCTCTGACCCAATGATCACTCAGCTCACGGCGTGGGGAGTGGTCGTTGATTGATAATGCTGGCGCGCCATCAAAGGTTTAGAGGGTATTCCAATTTTATAGTTAATTTCGATTAGCCCAAGATTTTAAAGCCACCTTACTTTATTTATACACACTCGTACATGCTACGGCATAGTTTTAGATACATATAGCGGTTGCTAAAGGTAAGTAATAATATTATAGTTACCACTTTCTTGAGTTTGAGTGCTAAATTTTTATTGTGTACGTAGAATATGTATTATAATAAATACAATACCTATTACTTCACGACGACACGACGCGACGGTTATTTCTGTCAGACACTTCAAAGTGTATAATTTCTTAGCGTTTAATTTTTTTTGTGATGGAATTGGCCAATACTTGATGGAAATCCATAACCTTATTCAAGTAACACTTCACTATGATATCTACACTGAACAGTTGACAAAACCGCAATACCTGGTTCGCTATGAAATAGCTTCCTCAAGCGTATTAGCTTCTATGAGCCTGATGCTGAGAAATAAATAATTCCGATAAATTCGGCACTTATCCTCTCACACGACGATTTCAATGTTTCCTGGCGCTTAGAGTATTATCGCTATTTCATCAATACCGTAAACGCGCTCTGGATGGCGATGAAGCTCGCTTAGGGTTGCGTTATATCAATGGATATAGGCTGAGACCCCATATGCTGAGCATGCCGGAAGCACGTTTCTAAACAGCAATTATATTCTTATTAAGATTGTGGAAAACTGACACCAAGTACTTGCACTGAGTTAGGAATATTTGTCGTGAATTGCAGAAAATAGTATCAAGTGCACTCAGTGGGGAATACAAATTTCAATTCATATTCAATAAAATAATCACTGAACACTAAGTGATTAATGAACTGAAAAAAAAGTTGACTCTATTCAACGTTCCCTATTAAACGATCGACGGTGAACTGACAGGTGTTTTGACCTATCCTCTTTTCATTTTACACACATGTTCACAGACCTCAGTTCAGTTAGAAAGGAAGGAATAAATAGAATGTGAACGTTGCGCTATCAAATACACATAAAAAATCCAAAATTGAATGAGCCAAAAAAATAAACGTTACACCACACGGGCTCTTCGAACGTCATCCGAAGTTATCGGATTGCGCAGTTCATTGATCTCATGCTGTCGAAGCTCTCTGCTGAAAGTTCCGATCTGCGCTAGGTCTGGAGTGTTCAGGTTGCTGCGGGTGCTTTTAAATGTCCGAGAATGAGGTTTTTCTCGATACTTCTAGCTCTCCTAATTAGTCTTCTTAGCAGTCACTAGCATTCGTATCCTATCAAGGCAGCACTGTCTGGTAGTCGGCACTACGTCTTGACCTAAAGTGTGATGGTTAAGTTGTAATTTGGTGAATATTTGCCGCTCTTCGTTCGTGAATGGCTGGTTGGTTACCATGTAATCCATCACACATTGAAAACGAGTGGCGTGTTGTCTCGCCAACGTAATCCTAGCTTCTATTTGGTGTACGTACCATTCAATCTTTCGAACTGCAAGGCCGAAAGTTCGTCCTTTCGATTCGGAAAGCTATTGAATGGCGCTGTATACAGTGGTATTAATTTGCCAGATATGAGCGTTTTTCGTGAAAACACCAAACCTCTACATCAAAACAAATCAGTTCTAGTGACTTCAGGGGCCGCCAAAGATAAGATACGTAATTTCTAAAGTTTTGGGGAAAAAGGCGGAATACCACAGAGCATTCTGTTCATGCACCTTCTTTGCGCGGGTGAACTACTCCCGTAGGAATGCATCGAATTGTTAGCTCTGTAGATCCATGGCTGGCATTGTAGAGAGAGTAGTGTTCCCCCCATGGGTGCGCCTGAGTCTGTAGAGTTTCAAGAGAAAATCTCAATATTTTATCCGTTTTTTCTCCTTTCATCGGCCGATAATTGTTTGGCAGGAGCTGAAAACTCCATAGCAAATATCGACTTGCTCTGGTGGTCGAGAAGGACTACATCAGGCTTATAGTTTATATGAGCCTGACGGTGGGAAATGAATAGTTCCAGTAAATTTGAGAGGCCCTGCATCCTGTGCCAGCAACCTTCATAACCATCACGTCACTGCGGTATTTTGAGGTGTCGAAGACGCCATTCTGACAGGCCACGATGGATCCCTCGGTTTCCGATTTCACCACACTTGACCTGAGGAAAACCTAGGTTAGACACTTTGATAACCCAATGTTTTCACTGTTGTTGAGAAAAATCCTAAGCTGGTCGAGTTATGTTTCCGAAGCATATCGGCGTAACAATATCATTAAACCAGCCCTTCTCACATCGTGAGGTAGGTTATCATTGGGTTCGAGGATGTTAGACAAAGACAATGGGCTAAGAATGACATTTTCGTGTCCAAGATTTCTGCTTTATGCTACAAGCCGACATGATGTTGGGATTCGTGACTACAGAGGGCACTTTTACTATCATTAAAATTATTATTACTAATATTATCATCACTATTATTATTATTTTTCACCAAGGTTTCCGGTGGTCAGGCCTTATCCCCTTGAAACCCCGATACATTCAGGAGGGCGCGACATCATTATCAACCAACGACCACTCTCCACACCGTGGGGTAAGTGACCTTCAGGTCCAAGAATTATGTGCCCTGAGCAAGAGCAGTGAGCCAAGAATGACAGCTTTCTGCATTTGTCCGGCTAAGAGTTCTGCCTCAGTGCGGTGAGTCGATATGATTTTGAGATTTGAGAGTAGATAGGGCATCATTCCAACAAGGACTCCAATAATTAGAACAATAATCTTGACACAGTGGTCTGGTTAGAGTCTGCGGAGTTCGAAGAGCAAATCTCGATGTTTCATTCGTTTTTCTCTCCTCTTTTTGGACGATATTTGTCTAGTCAGAAGCTGAAAACTCCACGACAAATATCGTCTTGCTCTGAAGGTGGGGAACGAATTGTTCCAATAAATTCGGCATTTCTCGGTCCGTACAACGGATTCAATATCCCCTAGAGAGTAGGTCAACACCGGTGTTGTAATAAAGAACCCTTAGGGCAACAATGGATATAGGTCAAGACGGAAATGTTGGACATGCCGAAAGCAAGTGCACTAGGATCTCGGACGCAGCAACCTTTGTACCCATCATGCGACTGCGGTAGACTAAGGTGTTGAAGACATCATTCTGGTAGGCTTCACCCCACTCGACCTGAGGAGAGCGAAAGTCAGGCGCTCTGATAAGCTGAGGCCTCAAGAGTTAATTACCATCCCTACTTATTTATTGAAATTATCATCATTACTGTTTTTTACCGAAGTTTTCGCTGGTCAGGCCCTATCCCCCAAAACCTTGATACATTTGGAAGGCGCGTCAGAATTATCAATCAACAACCACTTCTCACACCGTGGGGTAAGTGATCATTGGGTCTGAGAATCATGTGCCCTGTTATTATTATTATTATTGTCATCATTATTATTTGAACTGTTAGGAATGGGTCAGCAGTATTCATTCTCGATTTCAAGCAATATTTTATGAAACTATACAAATATTGGCATTCGAAATTTAGGTGAAGTGAACCATACTTTACTTTCCTAAGGTGGTCGCCTCTAGCTAGCGAAAACGCTAGCTAGGGGCGACCTTAGAACTCTCTCCCAGAATTTTGGTTTATTAGTGAAGAAGTAAGTTCTGGCGGCTCTGGAAACTTAATATAGTTTTTTTTAACGAATCGTTTCTCCATCTTTTATTTCTGAGCATTCAGTTTTTTTTGGATTCAAAATACTTTTTCATTGAAATACAATCCATTAGTAAGGGTACCCACTTAGTTATTCTGAATACAACAAATTCCAATATTGAAGTTGAAGTATTATTGACAGGTTTTGGAAAGTCGTCGTATCTGAAAACCAGGGTGAGAGGTCAAAGTGGATGTGCAAGATTTTGGAGAGCTGAAAAAAGATTTAGGTTTTGTATTCGACACGTAATCAAGACACAATGGTTTTATTGGTCTGTTATTATACTGGTTCTTTTCAATACCATATGCGTTGCAGTAGAGTACCATGGACAACCACAGTGGCTTACTGATTTTTTATGTGAGTATTACTTTCAGAATAAGATTTGAACATTCAGATCTATGAATTGAAAAGCACATATCTACTTAATTTCAGAATGATATTTCACCCGTTTTTTTTTAAACTGGAATGTAGTTTTGTAACCTTCAAGTATTTTCGTGTTGCAGTTGGATATATGAGGTCTCACTGAATGGCGAAGATGAAAACAATCTAGTGTTCGTTAAGATGATGTGATATTATTATACACTTGAGTACTGATTTCTGGATTGATTCAATTTATTCATCCAGAAAATATACAACATTAACTGATTATTATATTTATGAAACGTGTGTTCAGTTTATTGAATCCCGTCTTGCATGAAATGAGTTAAGAATAATAGGAGAATAAATGATAAATATGTACTCTTGAATATAACTGGCTCGTATATTTTTTCAAATGGGCGAATTAAGTTAGAAATTCAATTTTTCATTTTCATTTTTTTAATGTTTCCATTTCTTTCTGGGAGAGCATTGTCGAATATTGTCCTATAAAATAAAATAGATTTTTAGAGAGCATATTACTGAAAAATTTGTGTTTATAACTGGTTTTTGGGTGAATAACTTTCCGCAATCTGAAACATCAAAAAATTTGAATCCATAGAGAATTACGGTATCTCGACGCGCGTTTCGCTAACCAAGTCAGCGTCATCAGAAGATCATTATGACTAAATTTCACTAATGTGTTAGTGTTTTTATATGCTAGTGGCCTAACTAATACCTGATAGTAGTACCTTACTACTACCGGTTGGTATTACCTAAGTCTACTTGTTATGGTTCCGATTATAAACTACCTGTTTTATCAATACCTCTAATTTGTTATATATTTCCTCTATGTTAGTGACTATACCCTACATTTTTTCTCTAATATTTTTTCTTGTCCTCTTTTTCGGACTGCCCAACATTTGTGTAAGTCACGTGCAGTTTTGAAAGACACTTTTATATTCAATTTTTCAGACTAACCCTTTGGTGTATTTGGATTCATATATAGGTACTATGAATTTTGAATCTTCCTCTCTTCGAAAATACTCTGAATTTCTGTTTTCTTTTCAATTTATTCACTATGTTTAATGGATACTCGTTGCTTTCAGCTACCGTCCTAACAACTTTTTTCTCAATATCATACCTTACTTTGCTCAACGGAAACGTGAGTATTTTATGAACGAGAAATTGTAGTCTCGCCATTTTTTGTGGTCAATGATGGAAGTTGTCAGGGATATACCTGGTAGTGCTCGTAGTTAGGCCAATAGCATATAAAAACACTAACATAGTAGTAAAATTTAGTCATAAAGGTCTTCTGAGGACGCTAACTTGGTTAGCGATTGTGGAAAATTATAAACCCAAGAAACAGTATTAACATTGACTCCTTCACAAAAATTGTTTTTTAAAGTATAGTATAGTATGTATAGTATTTGACTCGCAATATATAGTATTTCACTCGCCACTCTCGCCTTCAGATCTTGTCAATGAACTGTATTCTCGCAAGTAATGGCAATATTTCTCGCTCGTTAAATAATATACTATTCTTGATATTGATTGAGAAATTAGATAATATATTATTGACATCTTGTGAAGATATCTCCGTAGAGTACGATAATAAAATATTTCATACTAATAAAAACGATGAAATGAACCAAAAAAATTAAAGGTCACATAACATCATAAAAACAATCAGTAGATTTCATGTGATATGAAATATTTTCAATACCAACAAAAAAAGTGAAAATTTGTATAATTGTATTTTTCATCCGAAACAATGTTATTCTTGTACAAAATTGAAGGAATTTCCAAGAAACCGTGATCATACTCGTATAACTTGGAAGTGAGTGTTACCAAGAAAAAATCAGAAATTATGATAATAAAATGAAGTGCATGTGGAGCATATATAAAGAGATGGTAGGCAGAAATAACACCACAGATTCAATATTTGAAGGAAATCCAACACAAACACACACTCAGTACAATGAATTTCTATTGAATATCATTCCAAAAATACTTGGAAAAATTGATAAGACCCAATTTTCATGTAACATTTCAAATAATTCACAATCAATGTTCTGCTACGGAAAATAAAAAACCAAACACACATGTGGAGATGACGAAATACCAGTAACTCTGATAAAAATATGCATAGATAATATTTCCAAAATAATTGGCTATATAATGAGTAACTCATTCAAATATGGAATTTATTTTTCCTCAACAACGAAAACTAGCTCTCATAACACCAATATACAAAAAAGGAGATTGTGAATTGATTGAAATGAATAGGTCTATAAGTGTCTTGCCATCGTTTTCTAAAATTTTTGAAATGGCGATGTGTGATAGATAGATTGATTAACTTCATGAAACATTGTTATCTCTTAAATCTAACTCAACACGGATATATTGAAGAAACATTATCGAGTCATTTGAAAATAACGAAATACTTCTTGGAATATTCTCAGACCTTTCTAAAGCATATGACTGTCTTAATCACACGTATTCATTGAAAAAACTTGAAAAATATGGAATTAGAGGGACAGGTCCTATTCTATTTGTGATTTTCATGAACAACATCTTAGATATTTTAAATAACGAGGGGGCTACTACCACTAATTAGGGCGATGACACAAAATTACTGGCTCCTAGAATCAACTACCGAAATTCAATTACTAAATCATCCCATTCAGTCGAAAAAATACAGCATTTTCTAAAAATGGCCTTATTCTTAACACCGTCAAAACCAAAGTAGATAATTCTATTTAGAATTGAATTGAGTCACCAACAATTGTTTGTTCAATTAGCAAATAATCAAATGAAAGTACAAATCTCAACAAAAATTTTAGGTATACACATCAATGATCATCTTCAGTGGCGTACCTACATTATCAATTTAGGAAAAAATTTGAATCAAGTCTGCTATAGTGTAAGGATTATTAATACTTATCTAAACAAAAGAATCATTAAAAATCATATATGCAGCAAATTTTGAGTATTTCGCAAAATTTGGTATTTTATTCCGGAGATCTTGTAGTTGCATCTTGAATATATTTGGAATTTAAAAAAGGGTGATAAGAACTATGTTCAAATTGAAGTACCACCAATCTTGTCGGGACAAATTCAAAAATAATTATATAATGACAGTACACGTATTGTACATTTATGAATGTGTAATGCATTTATTGAAACATTAAATTAAGTTCTTGAAAGCCGGATCAAATACCTTTTTTTTTCAGATTATGCGGAATTTGTGTTCTTGGGTCTGTTCATGGCAGAGATGTTCATAAAAATGTATGCTTTGGGTCCAAGGATTTATTTCGAATCAGCCTTCAATCGTTTCGACTGCGTAGTGATAACGGGCTCAATATTTGAAGTCATTTGGTCAGAAGTGAAAGGTGGTTCTTTCGGAATATCAGTGTTAAGAGCTTTGAGACTGCTAAGGATATTCAAAGTGACTAAATACTGGTCTTCATTGCGCAACCTTGTGATATCTCTGCTCAACTCAATGAGATCTATAATATCGTTATTATTTCTTCTTTTTCTATTCATTCTTATATTCGCGCTACTCGGAATGCAGCTTTTTGGAGGACAATTCAATTTCGATGGAGGTACCCCCAACGCAAACTTCAACACCTTTCCTATCGCGCTGCTAACAGTTTTCCAAGTAAGTTAATAGTGTACTTTGATGTAAAATGTTTCGAGAGATGTAACCCTGTTGATATTAGCTAAATGTTGAATTGTTTTTGAATTTGAACTCCTATAAATTTCCATTTTCACTAACATGTATAAATTGTATACCAATATTTAAGTAGTTCATTAGTTAATACTATTTCAGAAGATCTTCATTGTTACATCAACATATTTTCAAGTTAGTTCCTGTCATAGGCGGAAACAGTCCTTTTTAAAGGGGAGGGCTGACAAAAGGATAACTTTATCAATGACTTTTAAAAAATTGTTTTAATTCCATGCGTAAATTAGGTATCATTTCCAAATATTTTTGTTAATGTATGTAATTACTCAGCACATACAGTGCTTTTCTTTAATGGTCCCCCTCTATTTTATTTTTTAAATGGGTAAAAAAAATAGAAATTTGGGATAATGAAATTAATGCATGAATACTCTATTTTGAAGTGACATTGTTAGATGAAACTTTCAAGATGGCGACTGGGCGCCATAAGCTTGAGGTCAGTTCAGAAGATGCTCGAAATGGTTGCCTTGAACTTCTCAACATATGAACAGCCTATCCGATATTTTATGCCGAACATTTTCGAACATAGTAACGTCAATATCTCTAGAAATATTTATTATTCTCGGTCGTATATCCAATATTGAAGCAGGTTCAGTTCCGTACACCTTTTGCTTCAAATAGCTCCATAAAAAAGTCCAAAGGTGTCAAATCTGGCGAGCAAACTGGCTATTCTATAGGTCCTCGACGGCCAATCTAACGACCGGGAAAAGTAGAATCCAAATAGTTTCTTACTTGTCTGGAGTAATGTGGTGGTGCTATATCTTGTTCGAATACAATATCCATATCGATTTCATTAGGATTCACTTCGACGATTTCAGTGATGAGAGGCTCAACAGTAGTTTCCAGCATATTCAAATACAGTTCCCCTGTTAAATTTTGATCAATAAATAGAGGTCCTACAATATGGTTTCCCGATATTCCTGCATAAACGTTTTTCTTGATATTGGGTATGTGTTTCCCGGAAAACGTGAGGATTGCTGTCACTCCAATAACGGAAATTTTATCTGTGAACATTGCCGTTTAAAAAAAAGTACATTCGTCACTAAAACAAATATTGTGGAGATAGGTAGGATGCCTTGCAATGGTTTCCGTCATGATTTCGCAGAATTCTGTTCTTCGATCAGGGTCATCTTCAGTTAATTGGTGTACCATTTTAATTTTGTATGGATGATACCTATTCCTCTTCAAAGGTCTCCACACAGTAGAAGGAGACACCTCACAAACATTCGCGACGGAATAAGTAGACTGTTCAGAATTTACTACTTTCTCACCAATTTTTTGCAGTTGCTGTTCTTCTGGAATGGACGGATGACCTGGGGGCTTTTCGTTATGTACACTACCGATAGTTGGGAATTTGGATACAAGTTTCCTCAAATATTTTCTACAAATAGGACGATTCTAAAAACCTTCATTGAAAATCCTTTCGGTCTCGTAAAAATTACGCGTCGCACCGTAAATAAAAGTCGCTTCAATTTTTTCTTCCAATGGACGAGAATGGACCATTTTAGGGATTGTTGACGTGGTACCTTTCTACTAGTAAAACCGAAAAGTAAATGAGTATATTCTAACTGAACAATGATGTTCATTGTCGTACTGACATTTTTTGTCGTTTTCATAAACGAAAAATAACTCAACAAACCTTATCGGGTTGTTGGAATTGCCATATGGTAGATAAAAAGGAATATTTCTAGAAATATGGATATTAATGTGTTTGTCTTCAGGAAATTATTGAAAGTTCCGCCGTTTTGTAGTAGGTGAAGATATTGACTCCATATTATAAGGTTGTGAAGTATTCGTCAAAATGATGTGTCACAAGAGCCCCCTTTCCATTTAATTTTTTTCCCAGATGGCGCCCAGTCTCCATCTTGAAAGTTTAATCTGTCAATTTCACTTCAAAATAAAGTATTCATGCATTAATTCCATTATCCCATATTTCAATTTTTTTAGTTGACCCGTCCAGAAAATAAAAGGAAGGGGGGCATTGAAGAGATGCACTGTATAAGGGTTGAGCTTGTAAGTAAAATTATTATTATGTACATGAACACATTTTTATTTTGTATGACCATAACATGGAAAAACAAAGAATAGAAAAAAGTAAATGATAGAAACACTGATATAAATGAATATCATAATGGAAATAATGAGACTATGTTTCATAATAGTTTTGAGGAGTTAATATTTTTCACGGAATATCTGCTCAGATAACGAAGTGTAACTTTTTTCCATTTTGATGAATTCATCAACAATCTTGTTTGGGTCGATTTTGTCTGCTATTTCTCAATGAAAGTTTATGAGTGCCAACGACGCCAGACGGTCTTCTCTTATGGTTGTTCTCATCCAGTCCTTGAGGCGCCCGAGGGTGGAAAATACCTCTCTGCGGTGGCGATGCTGACTGGAAGGGGGGCCAATATAAGTAGATTGAATGTGGAAAGATAGACGTCATCGTCACACATGAATAAAGCCTTTAGATATAGATGAATCTGAGATATCATTGCTTGCCCCTTGCTGTTGTTTCCAATTAGCAATTTCATTCAACAATACAGTAAGGCTGATCTCTGCCGCATTGTTGAGTGTAGAGTTGAACTTTGAAAAGATGAGACTTGATATATCTTTAAGCTTCAAGTAATTCAAATTAACCTAGCACGAAGGAAACATAAACTTCCTATACTAGAAACTACATTCAAACCTCTATGCTGAATTCTAATAATGCCTTCAGTGGTATCAGCATCTGCAAGAAAATGATAATTACATTAAGATAAAATCTATGGAATCGACAAAATAAAGAATCAACGAATATCAATAATAAAAAGAGGCTCCTAAACTCCGTCTGTTACGAAGTCATACCAAACAGCGATGTTTCGGTCTGCAATGATTTCATCATTGATGCTAGCCTGTATCACGAATTAATTGTTGAAAAGTGGTCAGAAAATCAACCTGAGTCCGAAAATGCGATGACACGAAACATGAACATGAAATGCAATCCAACAGTATCAATGTCTGTATGCTCGGTGATCTGATGGCGGTATATTCGTAATTCAGGTACTGTTTTGCTCGGGACAGTACCTGAAACTAAGAGGATGTTTAAAGTGTGTGTTGATAAACAGAAGAAATATACCCTGCGAGGAGAAAAAAAAATGGAAGTAGCGGAGCATGTATGAATTAATCAACTGTTTCGAAAATAAATTCAAATGAATTGCACACATGTTTATTAATGATTCTTTCAGCCAAACGTACGAATATTCGTAACGTAGGGAACTCTTTAAAAGAACCGTATAACAGGCTGTGATGCGCTGCATTGAAAAACCGAAAGAAGGGACGGGAGAAATTTGAATATACTATATCAAGCATCGTTTTCATTTTTTTAATGTCCCTATATCATTCACATTCTATTATTTTAGAATAACACATTTACTTCGATGTAAATTCAGTTCGGGAGCGAGTCTACAGAGGAGATGGATGTCGAGTTTACGACTCCAGGGAGAAATTTGAATATACTATATCAAGCATCGTTTTCATTTTTTTAATGTCCCTATATCATTCACATTCTATCATTTTAGAATAACTCATTTACTTCGATGTAAATTCAGTTCGGGAGCGAGTCTACAGAGGAGATGGATGTCGAGTTTACGACTCCTACTGACGTCCCTGTAAATTTAGTTCAGTAGCGAGTTTACAGCGGAGATGGATGTCGAGTTTACGATTCCAACGGACCTCTCTGTAAATTCAGTTCAGGAGCGAGTCTACAGAGGAGATGGATGTCGAGTTTACGACTCCAACTGACCTCCCTGTAAATTGAATCCAGGAGCGAGTCTACAGAGGAGATGAATGTCGAGTTTACGACTCCTACTGACCTCCCTGTAAATTTAGTTCAGTAGCGAGTTTACAGAGGAGATGGATGTCGAGTTTACGATTCCAACGGACCTCTCTGTAAATTTAGTTCAGGAGCGAGTCTACAGAGGAGATGGATGTCGAGTTTACGACTCCAACTGACCTCCCTGTAAATCGAATCCAGGAGCGAGTCTACAGAGGAGATGAATGTCGAGTTTACGACTCCAACTGACCTCCCTGTAAATTGAATCCAGGAGCGAGTCTACAGAGGAGATGGATGTCGAGTTTACGACTCCAAAGGACCTCTCTGTGAATTTAGTTCAGGAGCGAGCCTACACAGCAGATGGATGTCGAGTTAACGACTCCAACTGATCTCCCTGTAAATTTATTTCAGGAGCGAGTCTGCAGAGGAGATGGATGTCGAGTTTACGACTTCAATTGACCTCCCTGTAAATTCAGTTCAGGAACAGGCTAGCAAACGTTTGCGCTCAAGGTGGGAATCTTGCAACTTAACTATCCGACTACCCCATTAACAGAGCATATACTTTGTGCCTACCCCGCTGGGGACCGAATCAGGTCTTTAGAGTTGGGTAGAGCCGCACTCTTACCATCTGACCTGAATGACCACTCACCATACAAACTAATCGGCTTCGTCGAGAAGCTGGGTTTGTTTGGCCGAGTGAGAATAGGTGTGAGCCACAATAAACCCTTGCGAGTTGCGGTGGAGGGTCGAATAGACCCACTCACTTTGGACCTAACCTCACCTACTATCGGCACTCTGACACCGCCGAATGTGTATGATTTATAAAAGAATGTGATAGTTTACTGAAAAAAATTACAGGTTACTATTAAAAAACTGTTTTTCCATACGATCCATCGACTTGATGGATGAACTATAGTGTTGTCATCGATGATGGCAACCATGTAGACTCAATATTTCGCAGAAAGAGTATAATTAATCATACACAAACAGTGTAGTATTTATTTCGAATCAAAACTTTGGATTCGTATGTGAAGAACGACATTTTGTTTCTCGTGTGAGTCCTTGTGGATTTTTGAAACATCAATCACAGTACATACGACCTAGAAAAAGCTTGATTTTACCCATGCTCAGGTACTCATGGTCATGTAAGTTCAAGTATATCAAGTGTAAACTTGTGATTCCCAGGAATACTGACATATTATTATCCATTATCGAAACGTGAATTCGAGACGGTATAAGTGGATGCAATATATTTTGAAATTTTTTAGTGCACTCAATGCTATAAAACTTGAATTCATTTTTCAACTCTTCATGCGACCATTTGTTACCTCACATGGAAGTTATACACATTTTTTTTCACATTCAGCCATTTTGAATTTTTTCGAGCGGTCGGATTCCGAACAACCATCACACAAACAAGGTAATTACCCAGATTACTTCTACATTCTTGCGTCGATGCGAACAAAGTACACTACTATCTTCTATGAAGTGAAATACTTACGTCTTGTAGTGTCTCACTCCTGCACTCCTTTAGGTAAAAAAACCTAGACCCGAATATGTTTGGCAGTAATAAATAATAGTAACTGTCAATGTTTGTTTAATTTTGATAAAAAACGCAACACGTCTATTCTATCACTCTATGAAAGAATACGGTATTCCAAAACTACGCCCATTTTTTATCACTCTCGACGTTTCCATTTTTTGAAACTCAAAAATAGCGGTCCATGAATCGTGTCTCATTGCCGATGTTACTAACAAATTCTTTCAAGTAGGCAACAAAAACAGCTCTAATATCTTCTGGATATAATCAACAACTATTTTCCCTTGACATGGATTTAATGAATATTACTGGAGTTTTTTCCCAGCACCAAACCGTTATTTTGATATCTCGACACGTGTTTCGATCACCAAGTGATCATCTTCAAGAGGAAGATTGAACTGTTTCAATCTTCCTTTTGAAGATGATCAATTGGTGATCGAAAAACGGGTCGAGGTGTCAAAATAACGGGTTGGTGTTGGGAAAAAACTCCAGTAATATTCATTACTACACCAAAGGCCCCAAACAGTGTATCACATGGATTCAATGAGTATTACTGAAAATATCAATTCTTTTTCCAGATTCTAACAGGCGAAGACTGGAATGAAGTAATGTACAATGGCATCAATGCACTAGGAGGGCCCAACAACGGAATGATTTACTCTCTTTATTTCATAGTCCTTATGTTATTTGGAAACTACACATTGCTCAATGTATTCTTGGCCATTGCCGTCGACAACTTAGCTAATGCCCAAGAACTAACAGCCGCTGAAGAGGAACAAGCGGAGGAGAATAAAGAGAAACAAGCTTTAGAACTAGAGAAAGAAATGGAGGCTTTGCAAATGGAAGGTTCGAATCTCAGAAACGAGATCTGTTTACCAAGTCCATCGAAAGGAAAGAAAAAGAAGGAAGAAAAAGTGGAGGAAGAAGAAATCGTTGGCCCAAAACCAATGCTGCCATATTCTAGTATGTTCATACTTTCTTCAACAAACCCGTAAGTATTTTTGTCGAACTTCATTATGATCTTCTTTTTGAATAATTTTCATTTCTTGTCTTCATAGGGTGAGAAGAGGTGCTCATTGGGTGGTCAATTTACGTTACTTCGATTTTTTCATTATGGTTGTTATTTGTCTCAGCTCTATCGCCTTAGCATGTGAGGATCCAGTGGATGAAAATTCTTTTTGGAACGGAATTTTGGATCAGTTTGATTATGCTTTCACGAGTGTTTTCGCGGTGGAGATGGCTCTGAAAATTATCGATTTGGGGATTATTTTACATCCCGGATCTTATCTCAGGGAAGTTTGGAATATCATGGATGCAGTAGTCGTGGTTTGCGCTCTGGTTTCCATGGGTTTTGATTTCGCGTAAGTATAGAAATTCGAAAAATCAGGTTTCATATCAAATGATAGTGGATTACTTCAAGAATACTGAGAATTTATTTCGAAGTGATATTAAGTTTTCGATATATAGCATTTATTTTCTTCTATGATATTTAATGTTTTGAGAAATTGTTGATAGTCAATTTCTCAAAATTATTGAGAAGTGATGATTCATAAAGGATTCATAAAGGACATACGAATTATTTTGAGAGATCAGCAATTGAAAAATAATGAAGAATCTTCAATTTATCTTTCATATACATATTCTTTGAAATCTTGTTATACCCGAGAACAAAACATATGTCAAGCAATAAATTCGAGGTTTTTTGACAATAGTGAAAATAAATATTACTTTTATCAACACCCGTTGCGAAACGGGTACACATTCCGAAGAGGTGCATGTGATATGGACTATTTCAAGTACCTGTACAACGTCTGTGCAAGTATCTGTGCAAATATATGTACAAATTTGTATAACTCTATGTATGTATGTTTGTATAACTGAGTTTATTTTTTACAGGAAACGGCCGGCGGCTGCGAATCTATCTACCATAAAGTCTTTGAGAGTGTTGAGAGTTCTTAGACCATTAAAAACAATTAAAAGAGTGCCGAAATTGAAAGCAGTCTTTGACTGCTTGGTGAACTCCTTGAAAAATGTGATAAATATTTTAATAGTGTACATATTATTCCAATTCATATTTGCTGTGATTGCCGTTCAACTGTTCAACGGGAAGTTCTTCTATTGTACAGATGCTAGTAAATTTACGGAAGTAACCTGTCAGTAAGTAAACGAATCTATCGAATTCAATCTTGATATTTTTTTTTTACTGAAATAGTCCAATGAGTTTCGTAGAGAGCCGTGCAATCAACTCGTAGGTATCCAAATGAAAATAAGACAGTTGTATTTTCATTTAGATTAATTGAGTTGATTGAGGAGCAAGTAAATAGAAAACTATTTGGCACGTGATTGATTATGAAAGATTTCGAATAAGTTTGAATTTTAAGACTGGTAATTTACTTCTATACTCCTGTATTCATTAGTAAGCCATGTGAATTGAAATGCCACTAGTTTGTCATAGTAGGTACTTCCTATCATCATCATAATGGTTTCAATGGCTACATCTTCGAATGATCATTCCATGTCAGTTTCGCTCAAAAACTGATTTCTTCATCGATTTATCTGTTTGGTCATAGCGGCAACATTTTTTATGCTCAGTCAAGCGCGTTTTACCACGTTTTTATGTGATTCCTATGTACAACAAACCAAAACTACACGGTATTCGGTATACTCCTGGAGTACTCAACGGATCCTTGAAGTCTTCAGCTGACCTGAGACTATTCTCTGTCGTTCTTGTGGGCTCAAAAATGTCCCCAACTCCATGCTTGAGGATGCTTCCAATTAGTTCGATCGTCTTCGTTTGAGACGGGATGGAGCCTAGCTCCCTTACCCTTTTGGCTGGAGTTTGTCAGAAGAACAAATGGGTCATAATTGATCATGGTATGGCGGCATGAATGTCCTCAGACATCAGTACCGCCCTTCACGATGAACCCCTGCCTGGCTGGAGTGAGTGGATGAAGAAATTGATCATCCGTTAACTGGGAACATGAGAGCCTCATTCGAGAGAGTGTCGGGGCCTTCTATATCTATAGCGTGTACCTTCCCTAACTAAAAGCTTCCAATTTGATCCGCCAAACCGCTTATGCAGTAACGCAACGCTCTTTCATTGGCTGTTCGCTCAAATGTCACCGTGGAGTGTTTCTGTGTGGGTCATAAGGCTCGGTTTATTTCGGCCTCGTTATATCCGTTACAAATAAACGCATTCTCCAGATGGTACACTTCTTCTCGTAGTCTAGTTCACATGTACTTTTTTTTGTAACATTTTTCAGCCCTGTCCAAAAATTAAGACGAAGGTGTCATTCGATTCGTATTTTTGCCTAGAAAGTTTAAGGAAATGCCCGAAAACGCGCCGATAAAAATTACAGAAGTTATAAACAATTAGGTGAAAAAAAATGGGGCTTTAGTTTTTTTCTTAATATCTCGGAAAATTTTCAAAATTTTGGAAATTTGAAAAAAGATTTGAAAATATCAAAACTCAATAGGCCAGTTCT